GGGGGGGGGGGGGGGCAGTGGGGAGGGGGGGGGGGGGGCAGGAGAGGCGCTCAGGAGCAGGGGCTCGGGGACAGAGCTAGCATTCTAGCTTTTCCCTCTCATTCCAATTCAATCCACCCTCAAGTTGGCAGATGTTGATGGTCACCAACTCCGTACACCCCGGCTGAGCACACAGAGATGGACAAGACCAGTCCGTGCCCTTGAGAAGCTTAGTCTAGGGAAGGAGTCAGACAATGAAAGCAATGAATTCCAGAGAGATAAGCAAAGTGCCATAGAAACTAGGGGGTGGGGGAGGCTGGGGGTTATAATTTATCAATAAAGAAACAAGGAAGGAAGACTTCTAGAAGAGGTGGGACAGGAAAAGAGTACAGGATTTTTTTATTTTTTTGATGCTGGCCATTATGGGGATCTGAACCCTTTGCACTGGTGTTACAACACTGTGCTCTAACCAAATGAGCTAACCCACCAGACCCCCACATTTTTTTACACTTTAAAAAAATTTTTTTAAATATAGGATTAGATAAGAGGGTAGGCAAAGTTTGCTGGGTGAAGGGAAAAGCATTAGCTGGCTAGCATGGCCTGTTTTAGGGGGGCAATGTTGGACATGTTGGAAATGTGGCAGGAAATGGAGGTGGGGCTGTGACAGGCAGGACTTTATAGGCTACACAAAGGTGGCAGCATTTTATCTGAGGGCAGTAGGGAGCCACGGAAGGATTGTGAGCAGGGGTGGGCCACAACTCAAACTGTTTTAGAAAGGTCTCTCTGGTAGTGGTGGGTGTGGAGGATGAACTGGAGGGGCAAGTGCGGGGGCAGGGAAGCCTGCTGGGGAGCAGCTGTCAGAATCAGAGAGGTTGTGAGTGGGGGCAGAGCGGAGAGTGTGCTGATGATCCTTTTGGAATAGGGGCAAGTGCGGGGGCAGGGAAGCCTGCTGGGGAGCAGCTGTCAGAATCAGAGAGGTTGTCAGTGGGGGCAGAGCGGAGAGTGTGCTGATGATCCTTTTGGAAGATGAAATCCATAGGAGTTGATGACCAATTCCATGTGGGGGTGAGAGGGAGGTGTCGAGGATGACTGTGCACTGGATGACTCCTCATTCT